AAGAATCTGGGGTTCTTGCAAAGGCATCTAAGGCCCAAACACAAACCTAAATATGTGTAATGTGCTGGCTGGAATTGACAAAATTTAATTCTATGTTAATGATTACACACACTTAGAGAGACAGTGAAGAAAGAAACATAGTGTAGAATTGCTTTTGTCAAGATTGAGTCAGGTTTGGAAATAAAACAAAATAAAGCTCTCTAAATATTTATATGGATATTCAGTCTCCAGAGTGAAAATCTGGAGAGAAGGAATACCTGAAAGAAGTTCTGCTTTAAAATCTACCTACAATTTCTTAGTTATCATACAATCACATATTTAAAATTACAAGATATACAGAAAGTTTTTAGAGCTTCCTGTGTTCAGTCAGAAGTTTATATGTATTCAGTGTTTCTTGTTTTCTAGATAGTTTTCTAATGGCTTTTAACTAAATCATTAAATTCTGTGTTCTCTAAGGATACCTGTTGAAAACATATGCTCTCTAAGTTCAGAGAATACACTTTTAACCTTGTTAATTGTGCAGGAAAAAAAAAAAAAAAGAAATCCCCCCTAGTTTAAGGGGCAATGAGTTACTTATTTTATCTTCAATGGAAACAATTTAACAAAGAGAAAACTTGATTTTCTTCAACACTTAAGTACTGTATGTGCGAATGAAAAAGATCAATAAAGCCAAGAATACATTCTCAAGAAAACACCATGAACAGCTTTTATTGTTATATAACAAACTAATAAAACTGCACTTTGATTGTTTCCATTCACAAATGCAGTAGCATGGATGCAGTAGGATGATGAAGAAAATTAATTCAGAAGAACTGAAACATTGTAATAATTCAGGTTATCGCATTATGTGTTATTTGATTTCATACATCCATTAATGATACACTACAAAGAACGTAGTTTGCATTGTTTCTTTGACAAAGCCATAGTCAAAATGAAATTCTCAGTAAAATTCAATTCATAGAGTATGTGTACCCTTTTTTCAGGGATATAAAGATGTTAATTCAGAACCAAATGAGCCCTTATCTGCTCAGGTTCTGATGTAACTGCATGTCAGAACTTGAACTGATAAGTCATTTGATGAAAATACAGAAGTATCTTTTTTTGTGTAAACATGAGATTTTGAGTAGGAACCCTTGGTTCTGCGGACACCACTAACTGAAAAGAGTAGAAAGGGAAAGGCAAGAGGAACAAGGTTAGGGAAACAACACCCTCTGAGCAGCCTTCTCATTTACACAACTCCTACAGACAAAACATGAATGAATGTTCAGCTTACCCCAGACCTGGATTTTTCATTACTACTTTTCCATAGAATATTGTATACTGGCAGGAGAAAATATCACTAGAAGTTTTGTTTTGTTTTTAAGAATTCACGCATATTTGTTCTCCAACTAACTTAACTCAAATTATTTTAGCATTTACATTTAATATTCAGGGTTTTAATGAAGCAAACACAAGACAAAAGGCAATTTTTCGACCTAGACATCTCTTCTGATAAAGGCAGTTTAAGGTCTGCATTTAACCCTACCATAAGTGATCTTATTTGGAGATCCAGGTATGCTGCAGGCAAAAGTGGTGATTTCAGCACCTGTAAGCACATGTGAACTTTACACTAGCAAACCTAGCCACCCTTCACATTTAAATTGCAGCAGCAGAGAGCTCAGTTCAGCCTAGCTACTCAACAGACTGCCTGGGGCTCTTATCAGACGTAGTTCACTATCAGAATCAGAGGTGAACCCTGCGCTATCAATGAACATGTTTTGTCAGCTCCAGATCTAGCTAACTAAAAGATAGCTCCAGCATATGCGCAAGAACTCCGCTCGTGCCTCTTAGCCTGCTGCAGTACCCTGCTGCTAATATCACTGGCCTTCCCACCTAGCTCTGCTTTGTGCTGAGTAATGGGAAAGCAGTGACACCCTGACCTGCAGGGCTGAGAGCCCTACATGGAGGTCCCCCAGCGGCCATTCTACAAACCATTTCACCAGTGCAGAGGAAATACACCCGTTTCACAAAGTTATTATTGAATATGTTACAAGTCGTCTCAAGAGTTAATCAAATGATGTCACTTTAATGTCTGTGTTCTTTTAGAGGGGAATGAGTAAGTTTGCTTAAAAATCAAACTCTCCTTTCAGAAAATAAGCAAGCAACATACTCATGTAAAAGACCGTAAAGACATCAGCTTCAAATGATTTTTTGATTCCATGGCACATTTTAACTCCTGTATGCATCAAACTTAAATCATTACTGCTTTCATGGAAAAGGCGGGAAAAAGCATTCCCCTCTATCACCCAAAGTAAACACTAACAGCTGGTGAGCAGGATAGCTCTTCAGAATCCACTGTCTGTATTGACTAGGTCCCTACTGACTATAATAAGAGCTCAGAAAACCTGTCTCACTCTTAGATTTCTACAGCACCAAGGTCAATTCTGTAAGTGACAAAACAGCTAACATCACATGCAGATGCTACACTCCTGGGGAAACACCATGCAGAGACATCACAAATCCCTACCGTAAAGCTTAATACAACTCCAGATGGTTTTTCATCATTCCCTCATGACATTCACATTTGCAAACACCACAAGTTACTGACACTTCAGCGCAACAACTACTGAGCAAGTTGGCAAAAGACTGGAACATGCACCTAGTTCACAAGCAGTGCAAGATGAGAACCAAGTCTACATACATACCATTTCTTTAGCTAGGTAACAAATGTTTTAATGTTAATAGATATAAGTAGACCTGCAACACCAAAAATACTTTAGTTGAAATTCTTTGTCCAGCTAACGATCAACTCTGTCTCTTTTCTTCTGCTGGTTTGAGGGCACTTACTGACAGGTCTATCTGTTTTTCATGAGCTTCACAGGACTAGTGTGACCTTGTGATAGGCTACTAGTAGACTTCGCATCCTGTTCCTTTACAGTAGTTATATTTGTGTGCATTTTTTTCTCAGATTGGTTAGCAGCTCTAAGTGAAATTAGGACCCTACCTGAATCTCTCATTACTTTCACTTGAAACAGAAGTTTCTATATTTACTTCAACAGAACCTATGTTCTGCAATATGAAGCCCTGTGCAAGCAAATATCCCGAATCACAACCCTAACGTACAGTAACAGGACATGGAACAATAATAGACACCATCCACCCGCAGAAAGGAACTGGGGAAAATGCACAAACCACGACTAATGTTCTGCAACCTCTAACAAAAAGTATGCTCCCTAAAAGGTTATACAGCCTGGAAATTTTACACCAATTTCATGAAGTCTACATATTGGAATACTCATACTAAAGAGGTTCATGCTTTAGGCATGATTTTAAATGGATTTGTTGTACTGGATATTAAGGTCTAACAGAACCCTTGAAATATTTTTTCTATTTAGATATAGACAAAATACAAAGTACTCTAGTTAATTTGATGAATTCTATAGTTTCAAAATTGTAAAGAAAATATTAGAAGATTACAGAAACTACTTTAGAGTTGCTCACACCTTTCCACGGCAAGGTGATCTAGGAAAAAAATAAACCCACAGCCAAAGTTCCCTTTTGTAGATGTCTTTCCAATTTTAGAAAGCAGAATCTGGCCTTGTTGATTTTCTCTTGGTAGCAGTGTTTGGTACTTAAATGGTCATTTATGTACTTACGTGTTGACTGTTCCGTTGTTTCGCCTCCCCTCAAAATTCTGATCAAAGTTATGATATTTGCATTTATTTAGAAATAATTCATTACCAAATGTTTGATTATAAATTTATCTTAGCTAGATATTAATATTTTTAGTTACTGTTATAAAAGAAACATTATGAACAAGATTTTGTAACATTGTATGTATGATGAGTTGAAAAGTAAACTAATATCTGTTCAATAAAGTGATCAAAATTCAACATTGTTGGGGAATATACTGTTACCTGAATATTACAGAATTTTTCACTACCTGGGACAATATTGCTACTCTGTTAAACATTGAAAGACCTTAGTTTTACAGAAAAAGAGGACAAAGAGACTACCTGTTCATCTCACACATCTATTAACACATGAGTGAACTAATTAAGAGAAATGGGAAACTGTCAGGATCTCATTTATGAATGTACTTGAGACTTTTTTTATATACATAGAAGACAAGTTTCAGACAGAATTTTCCACAAAGGCATTTAGGGTAAACATAGTTTTCATTCCTGTCAACTTCTGCAGTATGCATATTAAATTTTTTTGCTGATGATTGACTGAAAACCATTGTAACACTACTCTCTGATCACAGGTCATCACTAGCATGGTAAAAAGAACTTAAAAAAAATTTTTTTGCAATACTGGAAATCTCTTAATTCATTGACGATGTTAATATAAACAGCATGACTGAATCAAAATGAATGAGTTAAAATGAGCTACGCTGAATTTCTGAATACATATCTTGATTTTCTTTTTTCCTCTATAACAACCTGCTGTTAAATGATAAAACAGTTACATTTAAGCAACAGTGAAAATGGCTTGCTTTGAAAAATTAAATCCTAGAGACATTATGCAGTTTAGCAAGATTGCTATACCTAAATGTACTTCTGGGGGGGTGGGGGGGGGGGGGGGGGGAGGGAAGAATGAAAAAAAGAAAGAAAAGAAATCATACTAGCTAATAATACCAGAAAGAACTTAAGCATATACAAAACCATTGTTTATTTCACTGCATTTTGAACATATCACCAATCTTGTTTTTCTGGAGTTCATATTAAATGAAGAGCCAAATATTCCATTCCTAATGTTGAGGTCATTTGAAGTATAAAATATACATGCTTTGAATCTCTTTTCTTTAGGATAAGACATTTCTTTTAAGAAGAAAGCAAGGTTTCAAAAAAAAAAATAATTTTTGACATGAAGGAAGCTTTCACTGTTAAGGTATTCTCAAAGCAAACCTCTACTGATTGCTAATTTAGGAGGTGTAAGAATTAAACTTTGTAGTTTGAGACTGAAGAGATTAATTTCTATTAGCTGTAAATTAAGAAAAAAAGATGAAAAACACCTACCTTTCGGGAATGGATTTCTTTCACGTATAGTGGAAGTAGAAATTCAGATATCCCTTCAAGTCGTATTCCTTTTTTAGTGACTCTCAAATTTCCCATTCCATCCTACAACCAATAATATATATATATTCACTTTAGGATGTAGCCTTATCCAGAACAAGGTAAAAAGAACACAGTAGCTGGCCTAATATCTAAAAATAACGAGTGCTGTCCCACCATCCCCAGCTCTCATGATGATCTTGGGCAGGAGCTAGATGGGGGGATTTATAGGCAACGCTTCACCTATGATCGAGGTATCTAACTGTGCAGCCTGATGGTGAACTGCATACATTATTCCTTGACTGGACCTAATACAAGGGTACAAGTGTAGATTTTAAGTATTCCTTTACTGTAGAGATGAAGCTAGATCTTGAATTACAACTGCTAAGTAAAATAATTATGTAATTATCTCTAAAAATATATGTAACATTTGGTAAAGCAATCTATTATTTTTAAGTAGTGAAATATTGGAAAAATGTTATGTCATTGTTATGTCTCAAATCAACTGTTTTTGCTTTTCCCAGCAATTAAAATACATAGGAAAATATCCTATAGGAAGAAAGACAGAGTTTTTTATTGAGTAATTGCTCATCACTACTAAGTGCATGTTGCTGGTGAAAAGAAGAACTTCAAGGTGCTGAGGGTTATTTTTGTTTGTTTGTTTTAATTTATCTGAATAAAAATAGGTAAAAGGCCATCATAAAAGTCTGGATGAAACAAGCAAACCAAATGATTCAGTGCTCAATAAAATATAAACATAGAAAAGCGGCATAATACGGCTTCAGCTGTATTCTTACAGGAAAAACAATGAAGCCTGCTTGATACTTAAGAGGCGGGATCATTTTGCACACTGATAGAAATTCAAGACTTTTTATCCCTGGATGCTTGTTACTATATTCCTGACAGAAGATAATTCTTCACTGTACAGCCAATGGAATTCAACTTGATCCACTTAAGTGCAAAATGAGCAAATTTAACCTAATTGCTGATTAAATGTTTTGAAACTATTTCTGACTCTACTGCAGCAGAACAGAGAGAACTTGCATTTCTGCTCTGTTGGCTGAATTGTGAAACAAGTAACCTCTACTTGCTGGGCTGTTGTAACCAGCTGGATAACAGTGTCCCCAACTGCTATAACTGAAGCTGGAAGAGGACGCTGAATTAAACATTATTCTTATCTAAAGACAGTGTAGCCACTATACTACTATAGCTATTCCCTTTCTAAAACAAACAATGATGTCAATATGGCAGATATTTGATTGACACCACTGCATCCACATCTAAAGCAAGACTGTGAAAATGTAACTTTAAGACAACAAAAAGAATTACATTTTATACAATGTAATTCAGCTGGTATCATTTCCCAAACACAACAAGGATATAGTGATAGATAGCTTTCCACACTATGACAGATTTGCAAAGAACGTACTGTTGGGAATCATGCCTTCACATGTCAGTTATAGGACCAGAAGCCTAGATGCCTATGACTACAAAACCAGAAATTACCAGAATCAGAAAATAAATATAACTCCTTTCCAAAGCCGAGAAAATATGGAATAACTAAAGCTACTGCTAAGGCTATCTATAATATAGAGTATACTTGTTAAAGTAATATGGCACCAAGACAAATTCACAGACTCTGTAATAGTCCATATAATGTTTAGCAAAACTTGTAACTGATTACATAAAGCCAAGAACCACCTTTTTTTAGCAAAAGTGCTATTTGCATTCAAACTATGTGTCATGGTTTAACCCCAGCCAGCAACTAAGCACCACACAGCCGCTCACTCACTACCCCCTGGTGGGATGGGGGAGAGAATCAGAAGGGTAGAAGTGAGAAAACTTGTGGGTTGAGATAAAGACAGTTTAATAGGTAAAGCAAAAGCCGCGCATGCAAGCAAAGAAAAACAAGGAATTCATTCACTACTTCCCATCAGCAGGCAGGTGTTCAGCCATCCCCAGGAAAGCAGGGCTCCATCACGCGTAACGGTTACTTGGGAAGACAAACGCCATCACTCCAAACATCCCCCCTTCCTCCTTCTTCCCCCAGCTTTAGATGCTGAGCATGACGTCATACGGTATGGAATATCCCTTTGGTCAGCTGGGGTCAGCTGTCCCGGCTGTGTCCCCTCCCAGCTTCTTGTGCACCCCCAGCCTGCTCGCTGGTGGGGTGGTGTGAGAAGCAGAAAAGGCCTTGACTCTGTGTAAGCACTGCTCAGCAGTAACAAAAACATCCCTGTATCATCAACACTGTTTTCAGCACAAATCCAAAACATAGCCTCATACTAGCTGCTATGGAGAAAATTAACTCTATCTCAGCCAAAACCAGTACACCATGACAGCTGAATTATCAAATAATGCTTCTTAAAGAGGTGAAGTTGTATTTTAAAATATTTTTCTTAAATCAAGATGTGATATGTCTATGCAAATCATTTCAGATATAAGACCTCAGGCATTTGTAGGCGAACAGTGCAATATGAGACAGTGCCTATTCTTGAAAAGGAAGTAAGACAAAGAAATTAGACTTTGCTTTTGAATGTGCAATCTGCATTAATACCCATTAATTGTAAATTTCAGCAATCTTATTTTTCTATATATGCTATAGTAATAGCATATAAAATCATAATAGGAAAGAATAACCTGAAAAAAGACAACAACCATGCTATATTTTTGGCAGTGAATAAATACTCAACAAGAATTAGGTACTAATTTATTGATTTGGATATAAACACATTTTCTGACTGAAAAGGCAAATTCAATATGTTGTTTTATCTGCTTCTGTGGAATGTTTGTAACTGCCAGGCACAAAATAATATTCACAATAAAACTGAAAAAAAAAAGCCAAAAAATACAAAGACAAACTTCCAGTAAACTGGAAATGCTGAAATTAAGGCTGCCTGGGAAAATTCCATCTGTTCCCTCTTGCATGTATGTGTATGATAAAGTCTATAAATATACGTAACATTTAACCCTCCTGCATCCCAGCTAATTCCACAAAACGTTGGAACTACTCTTAAATCGGCAGCTACTCGCTATTTTGCCTTCGCCTCACTAATTTCTTTGCTCCACATTTATGGTAAATAAACTCTGTTAAAACACTGCTTTGAAGACAGTACTGTCAGTTTCCCTCTTGGCTTCTGTTCTTATAAGTGTTTATTACTGAAGTTACACAGTTCTTCACAACTATTAATTAATTTTCAAAATACTTTCGGTGGCTTTATGTCAAGTAATACTGTTCTTATGTTACTGAAAGGGAACTGAGCACAGAAATTAATTTGTTCACTGATTTTTGGTACTTATATTTTCTCTGTTTATTTTCAGCAGTGGGAAGTTAATTTGTATAGCACGTTTAAACTGCCAGAGTCTCAGAAACAAACTAACGATAGAGCCTACTGTGTCCATAACGGCTTCCCCTTTCCCGAGTGACATTTCTAAGCCTTCATTCTTTAGTTCTTCAGCAGTGAGCTACCCACCTACCGGAGTCCAACATTTTGAATGCAGACAGACTCTGGACAGACAGGAGCACTCTAGTTTCAGTAAAATTATATTATTCAAAATGAGAAGACAGACACTACATTCTGGAGCGTAAGCCACAAATGGTGTTATAAGATATAAAACCGAAACAGGGTGACTGTGACCTTAATTGCTTGATAAATGCAATAATCTTCCAGAAAGTAACTTCCTGGAGTGTGTAATGACTGATATAAAATAAGACTGAAGAGTAAAATAAAGAAAATAGTAAGACATGTACTACGATGTGCTTAATGAGGCTCTCCCCATTCAAAGAATCACTGCCCAGTACACTTTCTTCATCAATAAGTCCCTATCCAGTTTAAAGAGGGGTTGGAATAAGAAGAGTTTCTTGTTTCATCGAGTTAGAACTATACTGTTACAGAGAAAAATGCAAGGGTTTTCAGAAGTAACATAAGTTGGTCAAAAAGTTATTAGGATTTAAAAGATTAATTAGAAGAAGGTCCAGTCTTCTTGGATCATTTAATGTACTTATGACCATGAAGATCAATTTAACTTTGGGGCTCCCCCAGAAAGATGAAAATTAATATTAAAGGGTTTAAAACAGAACCACAGAAGAATTCTGTCTTAAAACATACTTGCATCTTCCTGTAGATATGATTTTGATGTGATATTATTAGTATAATTCATTTTAGGCATTCTTTCTGCTAATCTTCCAAGTTAACTGCCTAAATTATTTTATGCTTTCCAGGCAATGAATACTCAGATTATCATTTTGGTGTGATTTGATTTTATTCAAGTTCAAAAATACACTTGAAGGAACTATTCCAGTTCTACAATAAGTAAATGCTAAGTTCATGTACTGGGACAGAGATAGCTTTCTTCATAGCAGCCTCTATGATGCTGTGTTTTGGATTTTTGGCTAAAACACTGCTCGTAACACACCGATGCTTTGGCTATGGCTGAACTGTGCTTGCACAGCATCAAGCCTTTCTCTTTTTTTCCCCCTCTCTGCCCCCCAGCAAGTAGAGTGGGGATGGGCAAGGAGTTGGGAGGGGACACAGGCAAGACAGCTGACCTGAACTGGCCAAAGGGATATTCCATACCTGTAACATTATGCTCAGCAATAAAAAGTGGTGGTAGAGGAAGAAGTGGGGGGGAGAAGGGCGATTGTCTTTCAAAGTGGCCACTGCTCAGAGACTGACTGGGCATCAGTCTGTTTGTGGTAGGTAGTGAGCGATTGTCTTTGCATCACTTTATTTACTTTTTATGATTATTTAATATTTATGATTATTCTCAGATTTTTATTCCATGTATAACTTTTCCTTTTTCCCATATCAGAAAATAAAACAGTGACCCTGCCTCACTTATTTTGTTCTTTTCCCTACCTACGACACTAAGAAAAAACCCTCTCATCTTTACACCCATAAATATGCCTACCTTACAGATATTATTAAAAAATAAAATCATCACTATCAATATTTTATGGCATTCTTAGATTATATTAAATTTCAGTTACGAACACCAGAAATTCAAACAAGCAACTGTTAAAACCTTAAAACAGGAAAACTAAATATTTATTTTATGCTGTTGCT